AGGCTTAATAAAGAAAGAAGCTGAAAATCTCAATTTTTTCAACTTTTCTGGCTGTTATCATGGCAACCAAGACACATAGCAACGAAATTTTATTTGATATATGTTTCTGGTGTCAAGTTGTAATAATGGGCAAGGTTTCATCAAAATCAGTGACCATGCATGGCAAAGAAGTTTAAGTGGTTACAGAGAATCGCTATTAATTATGATTTTTTTGTTCAACAATCAATTTGCAGAGTGTCGTGTCTCACAAAGATGACAGATAGTTGCAAACTTTTTTTTTCAATGTAATAAAAACACTGTAATTATTAGTATTGATGTTTTATTAGGCTGCACCTTAGTTTCATTCATTAAGAAAAATATAATGAGTAATTAAATTTTCACTCTAAATGTTTAAGCAAATTGTGAACACCTCTCACATCTAGAAAACATTAGTGATTTGGTACCTTCTAAAAAACCCAGCAATGGGGTATTTGTCCCTTTTGGACAGTTCAAGTTTTATCAAACTTCATATGCTATAGATACTGATGAGAGTTATTTAACTGCATCAACATTTTTTTACCTTGACCTTTCCTTTGACCTTGACCTCACTTTTCTTAAATAAGTGTTTAGCTCAGTTTTAAAGAAACCATTCAGGATAGTGTTATCAAACTTCATATGCTAAAACATACTGATGTAAGCTTTACAACTGCATCAACATTTTTTGACCTTGACCTTTCCTTTGACCTTGGCTTCATTTATTTTAAATAAGTGTTTAGCTCAGTTTTAAATAAACCATTCAAAATATTTTTATCAAACTTAATATGCTGATACATACTTGTGAGAACTATTTAACTGCATCAAAAAAATTTTGACCTTGAACTTTCCTGTGACCTTGACCTCATTTTTTCTTAGATTTGCATTTTGCTTAGTTTTAAAGAAACCATTAAACAGGTCTGGACGATTTCCAAATATGGAAGTCATTAACGATAACTGAAAGTGTCTATAAATATACACAATATACATGTAAATATTTTTCTGCCCAATCAGACAATAGCATTTTTACTCACCCCTAAACATATTTCAAAGAAACAAAAAGAGAACACGTGCTTTTGTTTTTTCCCTCAAAAAGATTTTTTTTTTACAAAAAATCTATAGAAGTAAGATGAAAAGTTTGGAAGAATGAGGTATTCCCCACATATTTACCATGAACAAACTTGACATTTTCATCTCAGAAACGAAAAAAATTCATGCATATGACTATGCGATCGTTTATGGAATAGATCACACCGACAAGCTTTTATCAAGTACAATTATAGCATTTAGCAGAACATACTCTTATGTTGGTAAATATAATATTGCTTAGCTGTCCGATTTTCATCAATAACGCGTAGTTTCCATGTGTGTAGCTCTACTGCACACAAGTATTCATCCTATAGACTACATGTAGTTTAAAATAACACGGGTTTCATGAGTGCCGAAAATCATGTTTTATTACATTTTCAACAGTGAAATACTGTGATTTATTCATTGAATAAGTGATATTCTCTCACAGTGTGAAAGGATATCAAAGTGATATTCTCTCACAGTGTGAAAGGATATATCAATTGAAAATAAGTAAAAAATAATTTCTGGCCTGTAATAAGATAGAGATAGCAACTTAACCATCTTAATAGAAACTAAAACTGCCAATTTGTTCCCAAATGTGTTGCTTTTAAAATCCATGTTACAATGTTTTCAATCTCACAACTGCTCAGCTATGACGTCTCAACTACTCAACTATGACATCACTGCCTATGACACTGTGTTAAGAAAAGACAGAGGCAAAGGGAAAATCAAAGAAAATGTAATAAACTAAAAATTCAATGTTTTGTAGTTCACTTGTTAAAATATAAAAAAAAATCCTGTCCCACTCGTGAAATAAATACCATATCCATGATATCCAACTACAAAACATTGAATATCCTCTATATATACACTTTAAATGGACACAAGGAAGGGTGAAAAACATGGAGAAAAGGGAATGTTCATGAATGCTTTTTATCATCATATCTTACATGTACCTCGCATATATCAGAAACTGCATTGACAATTTTGTGATTAACACCCAGAAAATTATTGAGACTGTTATATTCCCATAGGAAAACTTTTTCATGTCAGGCTCTAAAAACTGAAATTATCTGCCGTATTTATATCAAATTTCTTAACACAAGTTAAACTTATGGGATAGCTACCTCGTAGTGACAGATTTTAAATATCACTTAGAATTTATATTAAGATTTCAAATCGTGTTTGTTCATGGTAGAATTGTCAAATATACTATATTATTCCTAAATGTGCATAAAGTTTACAAAAAGTTTGTTCTAAAAAAATCTTATGAGCAAAAAACTTTAAAACCACGTTTTATTTATTTTCTCCTGGGTTTGTCTAAATGCCATTATCTGATTGGTCAGAAGGATTAGCACCTTATTTATTCTGTGTATTTATAGCAATTCATGGTTATCGTTCTTGACTTCCACACTTGGAAACCGTGCAGACCTGTTAAAGATATAAGCTTATGTAAGCTTGTGCACTTATACATAATTTGGTGAGAATTTATCATCTATATCCAACCTTTTAGATTTCAATTTTAAAGAAACTTTTCAAGGTATTCTCGTCTAATTTCATACACTAATACAAATTTTCATGTTGCATTACTAATATACCCTTGGCGGGGCATTCATATCCAATGGACATATTCTAGTTTTTCTTAGCATTTTTTTTCTAAAAAATAATGTTTCTGAAGATGTAGCTGACAGAGAGACATCAAGATGCCTAATAAAAACCTGTTTGTTTGACCAAAAATTCATTTTTCAGTTTTTCCATTAAAACTCTGATATAATGATATAAATGAAAAATTATCCCTTTTTATTAGGTCATCTGAGTCACTCAGGTGACCTATTGCTATCTCTTTTCGTCCGTCGTCGTCCGTCGGTCGTAAACTTTTGAACATTTTCAGCTTCTTCTCTGGAACCAGCAAACCAATTTCAACCAATTTTGGCATATAGCATCTATGGGTGAAGGGGAACAAAAATTGTGAAATTCGTGGCCCCTGCCCCCCTGGGGCCTGAGGGGTGGGGCCAAAACCATCAAAATTAATGCAATCTTTAAAAATCTTCTTCTTTACTCCTGGACATCAAGCAGTCAAACTGTTGGCATGATTGTAATAAGCATTGAGCCCTCTACCAAAATTGTGAAATTCATGGCCCCAGGGTCAGGGGTTCTGGTGCTAGGGCGGGGCTATATAGATCATATAGTGAAAGTGCATTATTCTTTGAAAATCTTCTTCTCTACTCCTGGGTATTATTGAAACAAATTGAATACATAGTTATTATAAGCAAGAGTGACTCTACCGAAATTGTGAAATTCATGGCCCCAGGGTCAGGGCTTCTGGTGCTAGGGCGGGGCTATATAGATCATATAGTGAAAGTGCATTATTTCTTTGAAAATCTTCTTCTCTACTCCTGGGTATTATTGAAACAAAATGAATACATAGTTATGATAAGCAAGGGTGACTCTACCAAAATTGTGAAATTCACGACCCCTGGGTCAGGGGATCTGGTGCTAGGGCGGGGCTATATAGATCATATAGTGAAAGTGCATTATTTCTTAAAAAATCTTCTTCTGTACTCCTGGGTATTATTGAAAGAAATTGAATACATAGTTATGATAAGCAAGGGTGACTCTACCAAAATTTTGAAATTCATAGCCCCAGGGTCAGGGGTTCTGGTGCTAGGGTGGGACTATATAGGTCATATAATGAAAGTGTATTATTTCTTTGAAAATCTTCTTCTCTACTCCTGGGTGTTATTTAAACAAATTAAATACATAGTTATGATAAGCAAGAGTGACTCTACCAAAATTGTGAAATTCATGGCCCCAGGGTCAGGGGTTCTGGTGCTAGGGCGGGGCTATATAGATCACATAATGAAAGTGCATTATTTCTTTGAAAATCTTCTTCTCCACTCCTGGGTATTATTTAAACAAATTAAATACATAGCTATGATAAGCAAGGGTGACTCTACTGAAATTGTGAAATTCATGGCCCCAGGGTCAGGGGTTCTGGTGCTAGGGTGGGGCTATATAGATCATATAGTGAAAGTGCATTATTTCTTTGAAAATCTTCTCTTCTCCTGGGTATTATTTAAACAAATACATAGTTATGATAAGCAAGGATGCCTCTTCCAAAATTGTGAATTTCATGACCCCTGGATCAGAGGTTCTGATATTAGGGCGGGGCTCTATTTATTATATAGTGAAAATGCATTAATGCTTTAAAAATCTTCTCTGCACCTGGGCATATCAGAGGCAAAAAGAGTAAAAGTTTTAATAAGGAAGGGTATTTTTACCAGATTTTTGAACATCAGAACCATTTGATCAAGTGTTCTGGTCCAGGCCAGGGCTCTATTAATTTGTATTCTATTGAGAGGAGTTATTCCCCTTTGCCATTTACTTGTGTTAATTAATCACTGTAAATAATGTACTTGAAAGGTTAATAGAATAAGAGAATTATGCAAGAATTTTTATTGCAAAATACAAAAAGTACTTTCATAGCTTTAATGATCAGGTAGACTTGTAAGTAACAGATAAATAAAAATGAGACAAAAATAACTTGTCTTATTAAATGTTCATCAAAGACCAAGAGAGGCTATTGTAAGAGATTTCAACAAGGAATTGAAAGAGTACAGAAGCACTGATTATAAGTTTGTTTATATACTGTCTGGTGAGAGTGATAAATGGGGAACAGATTAGAACCTAATTTATGTACTGTTAATGAACACTAGACTGATTATTTTGTTGATCCTGATCACCCTATTTTTCTTGCTTTTGGGCAACAAAGCTTCACCTTTCAGTTCATTTTATACTCTATGGATCCTCTAAATTGTTGTATTATACTCAGGTGACCGTTAAGGCCTTTGGGCCTCTTGTTATGTTAAATCAGGATAAGTGTTCATGATTATTCATTATCACTTTTTGGATTGCAGGGAATTTCTTTTGTGGCAGTCTAGAACACATGACTTCCTGAAGTTTTTGGGAAAATTTCAAGAAATACGGACATCATGCCCCGTCAGAGAAAGCCAATACACAAACTTATTTATGAAGTTTTCAGAAATATTTTCTTTGCAACCAGAGTAAGTAAACATGTTAATTATTTCTATATTGCTGTTACTATTAAAACTTTTTCTGAGCCAGAAGAATTAGTGTTCTTTTTTGATCAATTTTTTGCATCATCTCATTTCAGCTTCATTATATACCCCTGCAGACAAAGTTTTGGGGGAGTAAATATTTGAATCCTTCTCTATTTAGACATGATTTTGTCCAGACATATCCTTACTTAAAATTTATACACACCTTATTCACCACATAAAGATATGCGTAGGTATTTCCATGACTAGACAATTTTTCTTCATTTTACAGGTTTTTTTTTATTACCCCTAAAAGTATTATTTTTTATTATTATCTATTTTATTATTTTTTATTATGCAAACGAATTTTTTTTTTTTTTTGGGGGGGGGGGGGGGTATATTAGAATCAACATGTCCTTCTGTTTGTAGACATGATTTTGCCCAGACCTGTTCTTGAAGACTATTGCATGGATTTGTCTGAAAATTTGTACACTCATTATTCACCATAAGAAGGTGTGCACCTGGTATTTTCATCATAATTGGATAATTTTTCTGCATTTTACAGGTGTTTCTTTTTGTTTTTAGCTCTGCTGGTCAGAGACCAGAAGAGCTTATGCTATAGTAAAGTGTCCGGCGTCCGTCCGTCTGTCTGTCTAGCTATCCATCTGTCTGTAAACAATTTTTCAAAACGCTACTCCTCCTACAGTTTTGGTCTGATTTCAATATTACTTGGCACACAAGTAGACTACTCTAAGATACATAATATTTAATGCATCTATTTTTGATTTTGATGAACAATGTTGCCATGGTTACAAAAAATAGGAATTTCTGTGAAATTCCTATAATACGCTACTCCTCCTACAGTTTTTATTAGCTCACCTGAGCTGAAAGCTCAAGTGAGCTTTTCTTATCACCCGTTGTCCGTCGTCTGTCCGTCTGTCTGTCCGTCCATCCATCTGTAAACTTTTCACATTTTCAACTTCATCTCAAGAACCACTGGGCCAATTTTATCGAAAATTGGTACAAAGCATCCTGGGATAAAGGGAAGTTAAAATTGTAAAAATGAAGGGCCAAGCCCCCTTCAAAGGGGAGATAATCAAGAAAAGACAAAAATTGGATGGGGTTATTAAAAAATCTTCTTCTTAAGAACCACTGGCCCAGAAAAACTGAAACTTACGTGGAAGCATTCTGGGGTAGTGTAGATTGTAAATTGTCCAAATCATGACCCCCGGGGGTAGGGCGGGGCCACAATAGGGAATCGAAATTTTACATTGAAATATATAGTAAAAATCTTTAAAAATCTTCTTCTCAAGAACCACTGGGTCAGAAAAGCTGAAGCTTATGTGGAAGCATTCTGGGGTAGTGTAGATTCTAAATTATTCAAATCATGACCTCAGGGGGTAGGGCGGGTCACAATAGGGAATCCAAGTTTTACTTTGAAATATATCGGAAAAATCTTCAAATATCTTCTTCTCAAGAACCACTGGGCCAGAAAAACTGAAACTTATGTAGAAACATCATATGGTAGTGTAAATTCTAAATTGTTCAAATCATGACCCCCAGGGGTAGGGCGGAGCCACAATAGGGAATTCAAGTTTTACTTTGAAATATATAGGAAAAATCTTTAAAAATCTTCTTCTCAAGAACCACTGGGCCAGAAAAGCTGAAACTTATGTAGAAACATCCATGGGTAGTGTAGATTCTAAATTGTTCAAATCATGACCCCCGGGGGTAGGTCAGGGCCACAATAAGTACTACAAGGGGGGAAATCAGGTGAAAAACAGCAAGGCCAAAGTTACTAAGGTGAGCGTTGTGGCCCATGGGCCTCTTGTTTGATTTCAATATAACTTGGCACACAAATAGATTACACTATGATACATTATTTAGTGCATTCGTTTTTGATTTTGATGAACGGTGTAGCCATGGTTACTAAAAATAGAAATTTCTGTGAAATTCCCTAAAACGATACTCATCTTACAGTTTTAATCTGATTTTAGTATAACTTGGCACACAAGTAGACTACACTAAGATACATAACTTAGTGCATCGGTTGTTGCCATGGTTACTAAAAAGAGAAATTTCTGTGAAATTCCTTTAGAATGCTACTCCTCTTATTGTTTTGGTCTGATTTCAAAATTACATGGCACACAAGTAGACTACACTGAGATACATAATTCTGTTCATCGGTTTTTGATTTTGGTGAAGTGTTGCTATGGTTACTAAAATACAAATTTCAGTGAAATACATTTAAAACGCTGTTCTTTCTATAGTCTTGCTTTAATTTCAATGTAACTTGGCATGCAAATAGACTACACTGAGATACATAGTTGTCTTTATCAGTTTTTTTTTTTTTTTTTTTTTTTTGATTTTGATGAATGATGTTGCCATGGTTACTAAAATCAAAATTTCTGTAAAAATCTTTTGAAAGATTACTCTTCCTACAGTTTTAGTCTGATTGCAATAAATCTTGCCACAAAAAGAGAATAAACCAAGGACCAAGGACCATTACTCTATTTATTGTTGTTGCAAAGTTTCAAGTCCAAGTGCTACTTTTCTTTTCCTTCGTTATAAGTACAAACCAGTAGAGCTACACTGTCATCAGAGACTCCTGGTTATTAGCTCTACTGGTCAGAGACCAGAAGAGCTTATAGGATAGTAAGGTGTCTGTCATCCATCCATCTAGCTGTCTGTCTGTCTGTCTGTAAACAATTTTTCAAAATGCTACTCCTCCTACATTTTTTGTATGATTTCAATTTAACTTGGCACACAAGTAGACTACACTAAGATGCATAATTTAATGCATCGGTTTTTGATTTCAATGAACGGTGTTACAGTCCCTGAAACGTTCTACTTTCCCACTTGAACGGTGAGCGAACGCTGAACGAACGGTGAACGAACGCTGAACGAACGCAGAGCGAACGGTGAGTGAACGATGTGTGAACGCTGAACACAACTTGGTGAACAATGTGTGAACGCTGAACGGTGAGCGAACGCAGAATGCGAACAGAGCACAAACGCGAACGCAAAGTGAACGGTGAACGAACGGTGAATGCAAGATGAACGATATATTGGGAATGCCTCTGATCTTTTCCTTGCATTGAAACTATTTTATTGTATTATAATGTCAGGTGCCAAAAAAAAAATTAATAATAATAATAAAAATTAAACAAATTAATGAATGAATGAATAAGTCAATAAAATAAATTCTCCAAAATTGTCCTAAGAAAGACGATGCATGCACATTAAGTTTTTAATCACACGATTTTTATCGCATTAAAACATTGCAATTGTTGCCGAACGCTGAAGTATAAAAGATATTGTTTTTAGTTGGAAAATTAAAATGTTTATTCTTATTTGATAACAAATCAGAGAAAACTTATGATTTATAGAATGAATTAATTTAAAAGCGGTTGTAACTTATATTCATATATATATATCTCCGTGTCAAGGCGATTTCGTGTAAAGTAATGAAAAAAAAATTAATTACATTTATACGCTCGTATTTTAGATTTTTAATACAATAATATATTATGTGTCATTTCTATTTTTTATTATGATTTATTGAGCAGACGTCTACATATATCTCTAGATGGCCGTGATTATACATGTACTCGGACAAGATGATACAAAGATACATATTCATATAATGTTATAAATTCAATTTTCAGAACATGATATTTAAGTAATATGGTGTTATAGTTTTTATTAAACAGACAAATGAGAGAGAGAGAGAGAGAGAGAGTACTATTCAGTTTTAGCCCCCCCCCCCTCCTTTCAGGCTTCACCAAATGTTTGTACCTATATCAAACAAAAACTTTGAATTTTTTTTCTAAATATATCAGACAGTGAAAGTAACTTTTTTTTTTTATCAACAAATCATATCCATTTGTTTGACAGTCATACTCGTTTTTATTTTCCTGCTTCAAGTTCACACGAAGTCCACGTGCTTGTCCTGTCAATCAAAATCATTCGACACTGTGCAGGTGTGAAAGTTTCGTCACATCGAAGACGAAGTGCGAGTATTTCCAACAAGTTATAACATTTATTTTTATCATTTCTAGATTTGATTCCAACATTTGAATAATAAATTAGTAAAATACATTGGGCATTAACACTTGAATGTGAAACATACTCTCTGCCAATTTCAAATACCACCACCGACAGGTGTACATTTTGATCTACTATTGTTTTGTGACTCTTTTAGATGCATGTTTGTTTTGAGACTGAAATTTTTGTTCTAAAAAAGACCGTAGCTTTTTCTTTTTAAATGTTAATTAAAATATTCTGGAAATATGGTACTGACTAAGTCTCCGATTTAGGGGGAAAGGGGTGGGGTATTAATCATATCGAATGGCAAACATATAAAGTTACGGTGAAGAAGGATTTTTTTTCTCTATAACTATAGACTTTACATATTACAGTAGAGAAATTCTATAGTGCATTACATTTTAAATAAATATTTCCTTTAACCACACTATCATTTTAATTCGTTCTAAAGATAATAAATTAACAGGATATCCGCAGTACTATGTATAACTCTCAGAACTAGTTCTATTATATTTTCTGTTGTAATTGAAAAAAAAAAACGTAGTAGAAATAAATATTTTCATAATTTTGCTGCGTAATTATTTGACTTGAATAATTATATCTCCATTAACGATTTGTCGTTTTTAACAAAACAACAAAATGTTGCAGTGTTTGAAGTATTTGCACATTGCCCTTAGTTAAATTTAATATTTCAGCATCGTTCTACATAGGTACAGAATGTGCTTGTATCAACATTTATTATCCAGAGTAATTTAATAAATAACCTAACAGCTAAGTTAGAATAATAAAAATATATATCGTAGATATTTTTCCTCATGAAATAATGATTCTTCAATCACGAAATGTAAGTTAATAAATTTAAAAAAAAACATGTAACTCCTTAACTACAAAAAGATAAGTCCTTTCACTTCGGAGTTCCGAATGACAATGAAAACTGAACGATAGGTGAACGCTGAACG